TGTACAACAACCTGTGCAACCGACCAGCTCTTCAAGTGGTTGGAACGGTGGCACAGGTTATCAAGATCAGCTGCAGCAATCGCAGCAGACCTCATTCTTGCCACCACCTAATCCATCCAGACAACAGATTCAAAGTCCTGCCGAGGCGCACATTCAGTCATGGGTGCCAGCTGGTGAGACAGTGGCGCCGCAGCCTCAACCGCCGAGGGCAAATCCCATGCAGAGTGTATGGAGCCCAGGGACAGGCATTAAATTTGCCAACACGCCGCCTCCTACTGGCGCCGCCGCGGGTGGCGGAGGGAACATAGGAAGTAACGCTCAGCAGGAGAAACGGCCGCCTGTTGCTGGAACTTGGGATCGCAATAGCGCGATAAGATTCGGTTAGGAAGCGAATACATCGCGTCCTCGTAGGATGTAACCAGGCTACCACAGGTTGATGCCGGTCAGCCATCATAACACTTCGGGTTCGTCACTCGATCATATCCCGGTACGCACCATTACAACAAATGCTACACGCTTTTCAAATAGAAATATTGTATAAAAAATAATCAAAAGAGCGAAATTATACCCTTCATCCACAATTATATGGTTTCGATAGACTATGGGCTATGGAGTTCAGACGATGGTCGATTCTTAAAATTATACGGTCGGACTATGCACAGAGCTACTAACTATTAGTAAAACTGTCCCCTAAATAAGGTCGCGAATACCATAGCTTAGTTTCTCCAAGCATAGTACGTATTCACGATGGTATCTAATTTAGCTTTGCGGGTGACTTAACCAAAAAGCGATCCACATGTAAAAAGGAGAATTAATTATATCCCGTACAATGAATGACTAAGTGTTAAGTCTATTTCATTATTGGTAATATACAAATGTTATACAAGTCGCCGCTTTGTTATTCCTGAGGCAATAGTGCGACTACAGTAAAATTATTTCGCATATTATATATTATCTAATTCTAATGTCGATCTTATTATAATAATTAATAAAGTCAAGAAGCCCACAGAAGTCACGTCGCATAAAAAGAAGAATGAAATTTAATTCAGATGGATATCACCTAGCCTAGCGCGCAAGCTATAAGCCTACTGCAAACGCCCCTATTGAAACAGAAAAAAAACCGCTGAATCTATCTACAGTATGACAAACGAACTGGAAAAACGAAAGACGTAGTGCAAAGACGTTTCGTGGTATAATCAATAATCATGAATAACACTCCCGTCCTTATTTACCATTAACATTTTCTTCCTTGTGGAATTGGTCACGTCTTGCGACCTCGTTGTTTGGCAACTTTCCGAACTGCCACTCGGGTAGGGTGATGCCTGTCTGGTCGTGGATCGTCGACATCAGCGGAGGGAGGAGTTGGTATACCTGAGTAGCTCTACATTAGCACGCATATATCAACACTTTATATAAATAGGCAAATGATAGCTTACGTTTCTCAGCGTCGCAGCGCTATCTTGACCAGATCCCTGGCCGCCGGCGCCGGACGACCCGGCTTCGGCTCCCGTGTTCCAGACGCTGATCTTGGGTTGCATGCCGTTGATGGCGCCGGCGTTGGCCTTGGCGAGCTCGACGTACGTGCCCTTCTCGATCATCACTGTAAAAAGTAGCAGTTAGTAACAATTTTGTTGAGCTAATAAAATAGGGGTTTCGTATAAAATTTAAGAGTAAGAAATTTTAACCGAGTTTCTTTCGAAAATCTCGATTTTCCAGGCAAATTTGACAAAATAGGGGGATATCGTCCTGGGGGTAGCTTACTGTACTGAAGGAGTCCTGCTGGGCCACCAAAAGCATTGCTCATCTTGGAGTAAGCATCAGCCATAGCAACCATACCCTCCGCCTCTTTCAGCCTCTGTTGCAGATTGGCCTCGGCCTTCTTGATGGCCGCAAAAGCCTGCGTCTCGGCGTCAATCTTAGTCCTGTATGCCGCGGCATCCGTCGCCTTGTTTGACTTCTCGAAGTTGGCACGGGCCTCGGCTTCTACCTCGTATGCCTTCGCGTCGGCAGCTTGCTGTTTGCTTTCTCGGGCAATGGCGGCTTTGACGACGTCGACGGCACGCAGGCGCTCGAGCTCGGCGGCTGCGCGCTTGACTTGGACCTCTTTCTTCAAGTCCTCGTCACGGGACTCTGTGGCTCGGGTCGCTTGGATGCGCGCGATCTCGACATCTCGGCTAAGGACGGTCTTTTGCGTAGCGAGATTGGCTTCTGCTGCCGCGCGCTCAACATCCCGGTCAGTCTTTTGGACGGCCGTTTCCGCATTGCTTTACGGGGGGACGAGTCAGTTTTACAAAGGTGAAAATTTTGAGGTGTCGCAGCTATATTAAGGAGACGCTTACATCTTCGCAATTGATCGCTCTTGCTGGCCATGCCTCTCTGCCTCGCCGACATTTCCACGAAGCTGCGCCTCTGCTACATCGATACGGGCTTGGTTGGTGGCGCCTTCGTGGGCCTTCTGAGAGAGCGATTGGAAGTACGTAGAGCCGGCAGCATCTTTGAGTTCCTTAACGTTGGCATTGTAAATCTTAAGGCCGAACTGGTCGAGCTCGCCCTGAATGTTTCGGAAGATGCGGCGCTTGAATTCTTCGCGTTCTGTGAATATTTCTTCCATCGTCATACTGGATACCAGAACTCGAGTCTCGCCCTCGATAATACCCTTTACGATATTCTCGAGATATAGCGATTCCTTTTTCTGGGCAGTAGACTCGGCCAATAGCATGGCATACTTCATTAAAGAATCCCCACGGTCTTCATCGTGAGTATGATCGTGTACGGAACGTCCTTCTTGAAGATTTGCTGCGGGCCTGTGGGCCTTCGAGTTGGCTCCTCGATTGTTCACATCCCTATCATTCGGTTATTATTTTCCGAATTACTACCTAGGTATACAGCTAGATGAGGATGACACGTACGGTCCAATAGTAAACACAACAGGGAGAAGGAACTGAAGCTTCTCCTTTGTCATGGCTACATAGAAGTTAGCAGGCAGGTTAAGCAGTAGTTGGTATTAATAGGTACCTTGGAGGTTCATGGCATAATCGTGAGGCTGAACTGAGAAGCGTGTACATCTTTGGAAGGGCCAGACCCATGCGGCTTTCGTGATGAGTACACTCTTCACGTTCATGCCAGTAATGGCAAGGTACTCATCGGGGGCGGCGATCTTAAACGACATGGTGGTGGAATTTCTGGTCAAGCCGAATATATCAAGTGGGTGAGTAGAATCAAAACTTGAGACGTATTTCTAGACTTTAGTCGAGAAGATGGAGAATGGGGAAGGTGAGGTTAGATAAAGGGACGAGTAGAATATTGAGATGCGGCTCTTGTAGTACTGGGGGTAGTACTGGGGTATTGTCTGTTTATATACCTATGTGATAGGAGAGTGGTATCAAACGAATGTGTTAAAAAGTGGAGGGTTGACTGGTTAAATGAGGCGCAAGTAAATAGTATGAGAAGCTGAAGTAGGTAGTCTACACTTCAGTTGACAGGACGAGTTCTTGGCGAGGTTTTGGTTAAACTTAGGTTGGAATTACCGAGAGAGACGGACGGGCTCGGTGAAGGGGCGAAGCGAATGATTGCCAAGTATGTAGCTCTAAAGGAAAGAAAGCTACGTAGTCAGAGTATGTTTAGTATAGGTAAGTGCCTATTTAGGCATCGGATATTGATAATCCTTTATTTTCTACCATGGATGTTTATAAACACGTCGATAATTATCAGGAGTCAGATGGTCGTTTAAAGCCACCACAAGTCGATGACAGGCAGAATGAGTGAATTTGTTTGTGCGTACTCTGGCCAAGTGAACACTTGTGGTATTGCTAAATTACATATCACCAACCAGCGTTTGCTACGTAGGTAAGTAACCTTGATAGCTCGAGGATCTGATGCTTAAACGAACGATACGCCACTGTGCTGTTGTTGACAGGGATAAATAACCAAAAGCTAGAGGATGCAGAAAAGCCTTACGAGGCATACGGTAGTATGTATGGACGTCGCGTAGTGTTACTCGTAAAGGATTTACTCACTCCGCCATGTGCTTTTAAATTCTTGGATAGGGTAGGAATTTACAAGCATTTACGGGCATTCACAAGCATTCACAAGCTATTTACACAGTAGTCGGGCGTGGCAGTGGGCTTGGTTTCGCGTCACAAGACCGAATAATCTGCCGCGTCTGATTTGTTACCAACCAGGTCTAATGTCTATGTAAGCTCAAGTGGAGTTCCCAATTGCACGCAAGTGACAGAATAATTCTGGAAGTTTTCCAAATCCCTCCTAGGGCTGCATTAAGTATTCTCCATAGAAGCCCGAGCTGAAGCTCAGCTCCGTGACCCGGACGGTTTTGGTTACTTTAGGTACCTAGGAGGTAAATAGGTAACTATGACTTATAGCTCCCCCGGCTGAGCTTCACTCGCTTATTCTTACTAGACTATTTTCTCATTGTCTCGACTCTTTTGACTAAGAATTATTTACGCAGTATCCGTTTAAGCATAGCCCTCTACCCTGTAGATCGGTAATTGTTTAACTTTAATCCTTCTCCCTTTTCTTCGTAATATGACACGGTTACTGCACAGTAATCTGTCCGCTACGGCGTATTCCGAACCCTGATTCTGAACCTTGCATGCATTTGCATGGCATCTAGTCATGCAATCCAAGTTATTCTACCTATGGTTTCGATTCCCCCAGAGTCCTACCCATCCCCCGCACTTATACATATGTTGTGTTAGGTATCGAGAGATCGAGACTCATGCGTCCATCTGAAACCTCGTCGTCATCTAAACTTCGAAATCTCGATTCGCCAATTGACAATTAATTCATTTGTTGCAATCAAGCGCATAAAGAACTTCTCTACGTGACCAAAGTCCCGTATCATTATCTTCGGTGCTCCTAACGCCGCCAAGTGAGGCTTAGACCCCCCCGTTCCCCGTTCTACTTATCCCCGTGCACGGCGGATGCAAGGCTAATCTTGCATCTTGCATCTTAGCCCCAAATCTGGGTATTCGGTATTCACGGCTGACTGGTGCTGTCTTCTGACTCCGAATGATCCCGAACGTGAGCGGTGGACAACCGGCAGTCACGGACTAGTCTTCGATCGAGGTTGGGCTCCTATCATCTTTACATACTCAGGGGTATGATCAACCCCCGTGTCAACCCAAGCTGTGGATCATTTTGTCCCCGGACCAATGACAAGAATTAATGGTTAAATACCTATGGTTTAGAACTGACCATAATCTAGTTCCCAACCCATTTTAAGTTATTTGGTAAGCATCTACGCTTGGATAGCTGTGTCCCTGTTTGCCTAACGTTAACCCACGCCCCTCTGCCAGAAGGATTGCCTAGCATAACCAGGTGGCAGGCATATCTAAATTGGCTGTTTTCTCACTACTACGTAGTATCCAAGCAAGAGCAGACCAACCATTTCCCTAGTTCTAACTCTGCCTACATAGCTACCGGCTTCATCTACTGTCCTGTCAAATCTCTGGATAGGTTGCAGCAAACATGGATAGCAAAGAACCTCTGGAGGCACCTCCTCCTTATACCGCCGTTCCAACTAATCCTTACACCCTAGATGAGTTGCAGTTAAACTCCCTAACTTCTCATCTTCAGCATCATATCGTGTCCCTTCCAGATCGCATCCGGGCAACGCAACAAGCGCGGAGGGTCGAACAGTCTTTTAGTGATGCATCTCTGCTAGACCATATTGTCCCCGTCCTCGAGGAGTTCTTGGTCGACTTAGGGGCTCGACATACTCCCGTCCCGCTAGCGACCCTTACTTTAGTCCCGGGTGCCGCGGTTCCTAAGAATGCCATTCTTAGCGGTTTAGAAGACATGAAGCGACGCGGGGAGATTTGTCGCGTATCCAGAATTCCTATAGAAAGCCGTGGTAAGGACTCTAAGTCTGGCTCTGGTACTCTTAGTTCCCGAGAGATCAGCGAAAACCCGAGCTGGGCCTCCGGACAAGAATTTAGTGACTGGGGACGGTTTGATGAGCCTAGTTCTTCGTTAGATGGTACTGCCGAAAAGGTTAAATCACTCTGGTGGCGTGATGAGGAGATGGCACGCCGCCTCGCCAACTACCTGCAACCGAAAAGGGAGAAAAAGCCAGAAGTGAAGTTTAACTCGGTAGTTCAGACTGTGGTTGAGCAAAGACTACCACCGAAGAAGGAGAAGAAAAGCTGGTTCTGGGGGAAACGCGCAAGTGAACAGAAATCGCCGGAGTCAACAATACCGAGTCCCCCACAAATCGATGCTGCGAAGGACAACATACAGGAAGAACAAGAGAAACAGGGGGCTGACATGACAGTTACAGCTCAGGAGGTTGCATTCCGCCAGGAGAATGATCTCGGAATATGGGAGAGTGTCCGTGGATGGGGTATCGTCGTTACAGTGAAAGTCAGAACTTGATGATCCCATCTTGATATACTAATTGGTGTACAAAAAGAAATACCACCTTAGTAGAAATACATACCTATATGCAATCATTTTACCCCATCTACGACATACTTGTAGCAAGCTATAGATGCGGTTATCCTTACCCGAGTTGATTTCTTGAACCATCATTATTAATATACAATCTTCATGCCGATCGTATGCCCTTCAGTTATTTCGAGATCGTTTTGGTAGTTAGGAAACTGGCCCGAGTAATGACTATTATATGATGTAGGTTACCAGGGGCCCAATCCCTTCCAAAACACTTAAACCTCCTACTAGGGGGTAATATTGCTAATAACATCTATAACTCGCTAGGACTAACTCTTAAACCGGATTTGAAATATTACCTACCTAGACTTCTCATTAGTTCCAGGGATAATATTCATACTACAACTCAGAGTTAGGGCCACGTAGAATATCATGAAAATTATTAATGTCGTATATTTTATAGCCTTGTAACTCCAAGATAATTACTTAAAATAAAACTCCAAAGGCAACATCGGTTAAACACTATCTTTAATTTGCGTACCTAGCATATAGGTTCCTACATATCCGCGGAAAATTATGGATAGTTTTAGTAAATTAACTTGAAAGGGCTCAAAATAATTTATTGTGATGATGAAATACGCGTCAGCTCATGACTGGGACTTGAGTAAAGTTTCATTATTCGTACTACCTTCGAAGAGCAATACAATCATCGTGTTGCCGAGAACTACTGACTTTGAATCGATTCATTTATGACTTGTCCAGTACGAATTTCCGAAAGAGGCCGCTTATGACCGATGTTTGACATCAGATGAGTTTACCAATGAGGGTTCTCTATTCTTGGTTTAGATCTCGGCGTCCTAGCTGTCGAGGTAGTTAGGATGAATTTGTCATCGTGCCTCAAAATGTGATATTATACTCACAACAACTCACATCACACGCAACATATGATCGAGACCTTACGCACCAAGGGCCATCATGACTCAAAATTAGCTTAAGGCTTTGGCTTGGGAGGGTGGAATTCGTCTATATAAACAGAAGGCCACCCTCATCTTTTCGCTTTTCATCTAAAACTCTATCTTCATCTACTAAACATCACCATACTACCCCCGACCTCAATATCAGACTTACCTATCTAGGTACACAACTGGACAACTAGACAACCAGACAACTGGTTACCGCAGTACACCGACGTGACAGCGCAATGTGTCCGTGCGGCGCCGCTTGTCGATGCAACCCCTGCCGTTGCGGCAACGGCCGCTCCGTCTATAGTTCCACCCATGATTCCGGACATGCAAGTGGTAGCGGTCGCTCCCGTAATGGCGGACGTACACATGGCCATGGGAAGTCTGAGAGACATGGGAGCTCCCATAACCATGGGCACTCGCATGGCTACGGACACTCGAACGCCTATGAACAATCGCTTGGTTTTAGTGACGGGGACACAACTTTCCGTGGTCAGGGCTACGTCCTCGGACATGTGAACGATGGTCATCATACCGGACGTGATCTAGACCCCAGGGGGGTTCACCCAGTCATCTGGACCCCTATCCCTCAATCTTATCTCGACTCCCAAGCTCAGTCCGGAACTCAAGCCCATTCCGGAACCCGAAACCCGATTCTCATCAACAACGATGACGACCAGGTAGGCGAGATACCCGGCCATAATATACGCCAATATCTGCTGGACGAGCTGGAGCGCTGGCAGAGATCGGCTTTGACTTCGGGCAACGGGCTTCCGCAAACCCAGAACCATTATATTCTTCCCGATCCGCACATGCGCGAGTTATTCGGCGACAACTATACAGACAGGACGCCTGATGAGTGTACGTAACCCCCCTCACTCTTCCTCTCTAGAAACTATCCATCCCAATATATACCCCTAAGCACCTAAATTTCATACCCATAAGAGTGACTGCTAACTCCTATTACAGACATGGTTTTATTGGAGCAATCCGTGAATAACTTTTTCCCGGATCCTCAAACCCCCGGGGGCGCCTACGGCCGTACCAATTAAATCTGTAACGACAGCATCCCTACCGGATACGTATAACAGTAAAAAAGGCCGAAGCTTGACTACTAAGAACCTTTGAAGATACCAGATATGGCGGGTTTAAGTTCGTCTATGGGTACGATTGGTCGAATTGATGATACCTAGGGAGGACTTTTGTCGGTTTATTATAGTTACCTACCTAGTGAAGCTTGGATTAGGATGTAGCCAGGTACTTCGTAATATTGATTTATATAGCGACTAAACACCAAAAAAAAAAAATACTATTATTATTCACCAAGTAGAAGCAGCAATTTGGAAGGGCTGATTCGATAGTATTAATCTACTGTGCGCAGTTGCTATCCTGTACGTGCATATTCATTAGGGGTCGATTATGATCAGCCGCTTCGTAAATGATCATGTTCTAAAGAATTATTCGATAGACTGACCCTCGACCCACCACTGCCTCAGCCCCTCGACGTCACACCAGTCGAATTGCGTCGGATTCTCGTACCACCAGCTATGTCCGGCTGCCGGGCGGTCGCTAGCATACTTTTTGAGGCTTCCACCATCAAAACGATGGTTCTTGACCCCGAGCAGTAATACGACGCTTCCAACTGCTGGTAAGAACTGTTCCGGGTCTAGAAATACCGTCAAGAGCACGTGCTTGTCAGTAGAGGGGTCGGCGAGCCTGACCTGTCGCTGGCTATACGGTGGTAGGCCGGAAGGTTCGAGACCCGAGATTGCCGAAACTACTGCTAGCACGTTGACACTCCAATTTTGCTTGTATGGTAAGTTGGGGATTTTGCGTAACTCGGTGAGTTTCAGGGGTTTCCCAGGGTTGTTGCTCGACCAGGGAAGATGGTTTGTGTCCTTAGATTTTGCTGCGAGATCAAGCCTGTTCTGTGTCGCCTTCGACATAGCATTTGGCATGACTTCGAAGTCGTCATCCGCATCGGCTAATTCTTTCAGGAGACCAACACCACTGTCGAAAGACTGCGTAGTACTGTTGCCTAGAACCGGTTTGGTCGTGATAGAAGTCTGAGCGTTATTTTTAGCTCGATCCTGTGGGACTTCAGCGTCTGCTTGGGCACTTTCGGCGGGCGCGGTATCGACAAGTGCGTTATTCCACCCGACGAGTGCAAGATCCTCGACAACCAGATAGACCATCCCATTTCCTGCATTATGGTCATCACGCTCTTTTTCCTTTCCTTTGGTGGTTGGCGAGTCCCCATCAGTCCCATTAGGGAGGTTCCTCCGTTCGACTCGGAATTGTTCCAGCTTAACGTAGGACCCAAAGGCGACTTCCCCCTCGTCTACGTATCTATGCATCTCGGCCGATAACAGGGCCTGGATACACAGCTCCCCATCTCCGAGTAATAGGCGTACGGCACGCCATCTCTTGGATCTAGACGTATGGATGGAATCGACGCCCTCAACCAGAAATACTGAGCCTGGAATGCAATATCCGGTACGCACAATGCCGGCGATGAGAGGTATAGGTTCGAAAGGCTCTGGCGCGATACATGTTATATCGGGCGCTTCATGCGATTGGCGGGGCGAGGAGGCGGACATGAATCTCGAGTTGGTTCAGTCATGATTTAAATGTTAAGTTTCCCGCGAGACGCGCGAGAATAACAGTCTGGCTAATTAGAATTTAATTGGAATTTAATTGGAATCTGAATCAGGTCAAAGAAAGTTAAAGTTAGGCAGTTAGGTCCCGTAGTCCGTAGTGACGTTCCACATGAGTGGGGCAAGGGAGAGTTTGTCCTTCCTTTTCGAGGAAATCATGTTTTATGCAATATCAAGCACATTTAGAGTGGTTATGAACATATACTGTCCCATACGGAATATTTACTCGAATAATTTAACTAAAGCAGCGAGTCTAACACTTCCCGTCTTATACACAGCTCAAAGTAATATTCTGAGCTGTATCCGTGTCGCCGCCGTGATTTAAGAGCGCGAAAGTGTACGACCCTTTCTCCAGCTCCCACTCATTTCTCCTGTTTAGGATGGTTAGGTACCTATCAACATCCAACTGCAGCGAAATCATAGCTTCCTCGCCAGCTAATATGTCAATACGCTGGAAGGCGACAAGTTGCCTTACCGGCTGAGTGATAGATGAGACGCGACTAAGCACGTATACCTGCGCAACATAGCTTCCAGCTACAGTGCCACTATTCTTAACAACAACCGAGAACGTAACTATATCCCCGGCCTTGAAACCTATCGCATCCGTACCATTTATCGAGGTTTCAAACTTAGACACTTCAAATGTCGTGTATGATAGTCCGTACCCAAACCAATATGCCGGGGATGATTCGGCATCCAAGTAATTCTTCAAGTGGGCAGTCGGCTTGTAGTTATAATATACGGGGATCTGACCAACGTGCTTCGGCACGGTTATTGGCATCCGACCGCCAGGGTTGACAATGCCGAATAACACGTCCGCGATAGCTTGGCCACCAGATTGGCCCGGAAAGAAAGTATCTAGCACCGCGGCGCTTTGGTTATAATAGTCGATTGCGAAGGGCCGGCCGCCTTGAAGGACAAGCACGACTGGCTTTCCCAACTTATAAATCTCTTTAGCCAATAAGTCTTGACTTGGGGCAAGGCCAAGCGTGCCTCTATCTCCGCCTTCTCCGTCGCTATTCCAAGCAGCACCGACTGCTAGGACCACAACGTCTGAGGAACTTGCCAGCTGGACTGCCTGGTCGATAGCATCGCCGTTCCGGCTGACGAGGTTCCAAAAAAGGATGAGTTGCGAATTGAGAGAATTCACGTTCTCTACTTTTTTATACAAGTTGAATGCCTGATATTCGATGCGAATATGATAAGTCTCCCCCTTTTTGAAAGTGAAAGGCGCAGACCCTTTAGGAGGTAACGTGGCATTAGTTGTAATATAATCATATTCCATGATATTACCCATAATATTACCGGAATCAAGCAGCCCATCAACTCCGCTTGATGCGATCAAATTCCCGTCTATAAAGAGCTTAACAGTCGTGTTAGGGCCAACTGCCGCTCCAATCCAACCATCAACATCTGCATCAACCGGGGATTGTAGCTCGCCTTCCCAGATGGCACTAAAATTATTCGATGTTAGACCGTCTGGGGGATAAAGCCCCCAATCCAGCGCCGGCAACTCTATTCGATGAGCTGTAGGTTGAGTAAAGTTGGTATCAGCAAAGTACGTTGCAGAAAGACCGCCTATGGTGCCGTTTGACGATAAAAGATATGATGGGATCACATATTGTGCGTTATATTCCCAGGTATTCGTTCCCCAGCTTGTAACCAGTTCAAACTCGTCGTTGCTCGCATAACTCAGGATTCCTTGTCGGATTGTCCGCGCTGCTTCTGCGGGATACTGGCCCCATTGGCCGGAATAATCGCCATAGTTAAGCACATCAGCGAAAGGGCCGATAAGAGCGATCTTAGAGATATTCTGAGCCTTGGGTATTAACGGTAGCGTCGAGTTCTTGTTCTCAAGGAGTACAATGCTCCTTTGAGCAGCTTCGCGTGTTAGGTCGCGATGGCTCTCGACAATTTGTGGGGGATCTATCTTGGTTTCGATGAAGGGGTTATCAAATAAACCCAAATCCCATTTGATCCCTAGTATCCTACGTACATGAGATTGTAGGGTTGCTAATTCCACAGTGCCGTTTTTAACTAGGTCTATTGTCGTCTAAGTCTGTGTTAGCATTATTGGTGTTATTAGGTCCGAAAGGGGGGCTTCACATTAAGATAGATTTCTAAAGGAAAGTCATAAAATTGGACCATCCCTCCAGCATTAAACCATTGCTGTATCGCATCTGCAGGAGAACCTGCCACTCGATATACTGCTTGGAGCTCAACCATGCCTGTTATATATTTAGCATAGCGCAGATCAAGGCTTTCTTAGCATATATGAAGTAATACCGGTGTCATCAGCAATGATAAATCCATCGAACCCCCAGTCGTCAAGCGCTTCATATAACATAGGATGTACATGAGCCGGTATTTCATCAAGCTCGTTATATGCCCTGCAACATTTTTAATGCACGCTACACAGGTGATTAGGTCAAAGTCAACTTACATCATGACTCCTCTCGCTCCACCAAGCTGGATCACAGCTTTGAATGGCATGAGAAGATCTTGCATGACTTGCCGATTTCCATGGCCCATGAAAGGGGCAGTATTGTGTCCAGACTGAGGAGCCCCATGGGCGGCGAAATGCTATCAGGTGAGATAAGTTACTAACACTGCGTATAGGATGATATTTCGTAAACATACCTTCACTACTGGAACCACGGCATCCGGCTCAGACCAAGAACCATTTTTAGATAGCCCGCGTGAAAAGGCGACCCCCATATGCGAAGTCAGCACCTTATCTTCACCCCAAGCCTCTGCATACTATCAGTACAGAAGCGGTCCTCTCGTAACACGGAGAAGCCGTACCTTGCATACGTCCCCATCGCGGATCCTGGCCGAGATCGAGAACGGGAGATAAGCAAGCATGAATCCCTATCGACCTGGCTTCGGTTCCAATTGCGCGACCGACCCGATATGCAAGGTCAGCATCGAAACTAGCCGACAAGCCCAAGCTTTGAGGGAAAATGGATTGTTTAAAAGACCCAACGCCATGAAGACATTCTCCCACGTGTATGAATGGGATCTTTAGTCGTGATTTCTGCAGATTCAACTCCTGGACGGCGTTATAATGAGAAATGTTCAGCGGGTACCTATACAACGGTAAACCTAGAGCCCCTTTCCACGGAGAACCCCGGGACTTACCAGTCATGCATCACCCCTATTGGCGAGTCCGGACTGAAGCGCATCGTATAGTCTAGTCTTCATGGTAGCATAGGAAGACTCGAGAGTAGCTTGCGAATGCACCTACCATAAAGCTCATTTTTCGACTCGACCCCTACAATATCGCCTCCGAACATAAGATGTAATTGTAGGACTTAAATACTCGTTAGTTTAGATATAGAGGGAAGTTTTTCAGCTCCTAGATAAACTAACCGAGGTCCTCGATCGTCATGTTTGAAATCAAGCCATCTACATAAGACTCTTTATCTAGAGAGGTTGTATTGTTGTCGCTTCTCCCTGGCGACTCTTCTTTCTCCGCGAACACAGCTGCTTGCGCATTGAGCTGCGCGAACACGTCTAAAAAGACCAACAGAAATAAAGATAGCATCACCAAAGTTAACCCTCAAGTACACGACACCGTGATTTGAGTACTGAGATATGAGCATACCTAAGGTATAGATATTCAACGCGAGGAGTCTTAATACGAATGGCATATCCACTAGCAGTGTTACATTATCCTCTTCTCGGGCTATATTGATCAGAGTACATGGAATTACCCCAGGAAATCTTGCGGATACCGAGCCCGTAACCCCGCGCCATCGCAATACTACCTAATGATATAGATCTATCATTCACTTATAGCTCCACTAACGTCTAATAAACGTTACAGTAGCCAAGCATGAGTCGGATTACCTACTATATATGGTATTATATGCCTTGTTTGGTTACTTTTCGTCCCCCTCTCCTCCCAATTAAGACTGGTAACATGACGTTTAGTGCAACTGTGACATTGCACCAACGTTTACTTGGGCAACCCAAAACCAACTTCCTCGCATTAGTAACCTCCAAAGTCCACGCGTTAGGTACCTTCCTGTGTACACTCTTATCCCATTCCAAACCCATATGCCAACCCAGTCCCAAATGCATGATTATATTAATAAGATACTGGCATGAGATGATAGATACTCCTTGCTTTCGCTTCTGAAGTCATCCGCTAACAAGTTACTCTTATTATTCCAAAATTGCATGAGTTCCTTCTTCTCTTTCCATTGGGGCCACTTCGCGAAGTTAGAACTCGTGCCCTCGTTAGGATCCATCGTGTACAAGAAAGAGATGTAGTAGCTCTGGATAGCGTTGCTGGCGTAGTTAGGCAGGATACCGTAAAAGACCTGCAGTATATCCGACGCGTGGAATGTACCCAATATCGGGGTGCCGTAGTCGTAAGACGCTAGGTACGACCATGAAGGCACATTGGGATTTACGGTAAGAGCTGACTCGAGGAAGATTCTTCGCGTAAGAGTGAACACCATGTCACCCAGGATTGCCGCAAGGCGCTTGAACTGTGGGTACGCGCTATTCAAAATACCAGTGTTGAAGGGGCTGCCGGCGGTAATTGATGTATCGTATGTATTGACGAGGCCTACGATATCATCTCTCGTGACTTCAGCGAAAAACACTTTCCAGATGTAGTCGACGAGCTCGTCGGTAGTAGTGATGTTAGGTTGGAACAAGCTGAAAAGCGTTCCCTCATCTTCTTGGTCTCCAATAATCATAGGTACAGCTGCATATTTGCCACTGAGCGCAAGGGCCTCTGGGCTCTCAGTCAAAATGACGCCATCCGGTCGTGGGAGGTATGACAAAGAGACAGAAGTGTAGCCTAAGATACCCGGAACGCTATTAGCAGCGTTGAGGAAGGTATTGTAGTCCGCATCGCGAAGACACTCGAGCGTATCAGCAGACCCGGCACAGCCTGCTGCTTTTACCACCGTATCATACATATCCTGGCAGCGGGCACAGTCTACTCGCTGAGCTGGAACCACACTCCCGCTATTCATAATAGCTGCGCGGAAAAGCTTCTTCCCATTGTAGGTGTTGTTACCATCGTAAAGAGCCATCTGATCAAACACGGAGATAGCTCCGGCCGATTCTCCCCAGATGGTCA